TTCTATTTCTTTTTCTAGCTCACCTCTCATTATCAATCTCCTTGATGATCATCTCATTTTTACCTTCTGATTGGCCTAAATCAGGGTTCACAACCTTGGTATTTTGGGCCAGATGGTTGTGGGTATCTGCTCTGTGCATTGTAGGATGTTAGCAGCATTCCTGGCCTCTACCCACTAGATGCCAGTAACAGTCCCCCATGCGGCAATCAAAAATGTCTCCCAATATTGCCAAATGTCTCCTTGGTACAAAATCACCTCTGGTTGAGAAATACTGGCTTAGACAAAGAACCTGGGACACATCAACATTTCTGTACAAAAATCTATTTTAGAGATATTATGTTTTCAGGATACAAGATACAACATTCCCTTTGCTGCCTCTGTTAGGCAAATGTCTAAAACTAGAAGCTCTGAGAAGATGGTTCCAGGTAACCATCTGGCCAAATCCACCTGCAGCAAAAGGAAGATTTGGGCCTGTTTTCTGAATTGACTCAGAAACAAAACAAAATGAAACAAAACACAAAAACTTAATGTCTAGTCTGAGTTAATTGACTATTTGGGCAAATGTCTTTTTTGGGTCCCTACAATACAGGGAAATTACTTCTTTTTCTATTTGTCATAGCCAGGGATAAGCTGGCTGCACGTGTGGAGGTGCTGAAGGGAGAGTTTGGAGAGAGGCAAATGTTTGTGGGGGGGTCATATCTCTCAAGCTTTGCCACTGGACTGGGATGCTTCTGGGTTTTGTAGGATTTGCAATAAGAGAACAATCCTGGTATTCATGAACTGGTTCTTTCAACCCATTGGTCATATCAGTGGAAAAGACAGTCCTAAAAATTATGGTTCATAGAACTAAGCAAAACAAAAAGCATGGGAAAGAATTGAGGATCTACCTGAGATAGTTCAATAACGCAAATGAGAAAATCCTTGGTTATAACTGTTAGTAGCACAGCACATCAGAAAATGCTTGCTGTTGGTCACATAGATGATTGTATGAGGGAAGGGCCGGTGGAATTAGGTTTTAATTTGTTTATTCCTAATTAACTGGTATAGGACCAGGTTTAGGGAAGTTAGGTCTTCTGACTTTGAACCAGAGGTTCTAAATCCTCTAGATTAATAGTGGAAAGGACAAAAGCAATTAGTTTTCTGTAGTTCCACATTTTGATCGAGGAGATTGATACACGTAGTAGGTTAGGGGAGGATTCAGCGCCATGGCGATAAGGCCTGGGGTACTGTGTAGACAGAAGGAAGATGTGGGGGGAGTTGGGAAGCAGATGAAAGGAAAAAAAAAAAAGCCAAATGACAAGATTAATAACTTGGAAGCTTAATGCTGTGAGTGTGTTAGAAGAAAAACTTCCTGAATAAAAGAGATTGGAATCCTGGAGAATACAGGGATCCTGACAAACAAACAATGAAAGGGGGAAAGACAGAAGGCCTTTTTCTGAGGTCCACAGAGGACCCAGGGCAGCATCAATCCCCGGTCAGGCCTGTCATCCACATGGCGCTGCCAGCATCCCCACCTTTTCACATAAACTCTCACATGATGCTTCACAGTGGCCGGTGAAATGATCCAGAGAAGAGCCCATTTGACAGGTGAGAATATGAGGTGCAGAAGGACAGGGACTTGCTCAAGTTTAGAAAGGCACACAGGGAATTCACAGGCTGGTTTGTGGCACTTATTCCCTCACACCACGTGGCCGCCTGGGTCAGCAGGTTCTGAGAGAGTAGATTTTATGACACTAAGGTCTCCAAAAAAATGATAAGGATTGAATCAATTTCCTTGGAGAAGGAGGAAGCTAGAGGGGAAAACACTAAAAATGGGAGTGTATGTTTATGTGAGTCTTTCCACTAGTGGTAAATGTTACATTTCCCCATTCCATTTAAAGTATGTTTTCCATAGCTTAGCCAAATGAGGCTGAAGGTGGATGGCTGGAGTGTGGAGGCAATGCGCCAAATAGACGGGACAATCAGAGAAGGAGAGAGAGCATGCTTCTTTGTTTTGCCAGGGGCCAGTCATCTCTAAATTCTTGGATGACAGAGACAAATTTAGTGGGCCTTTACCTTACTAAACTGCAGAGCCTAGTGTCGGGGCACAGCTGTCCTGGAGAGCAGCGAGACAACGCAACAAATCAGGCTTAGCCTCACCTGCACTCTCTGGCTTGTGGATTACATTTAATGCAGAGCAAAGCTCAGCCTCTTCTTGGAATGGACAAAGACTAAGCCACCATGCCATGTGACCATTCATGCAGGTGGCAGAAGTTTCCAGAGCTCAGGAGAAAATGGTCTAGGAAGAAATGAAACCAGGTACCTCAGAAGAAGTCATTTGGTTTTTGCAACCTTGGTCTGTATTGGGTAAAAACTCATTTTAGAATGAATAGAGAATTTCTTCATTTGCTCGGGGCAATTGTTGGCTTAAATTTATAGCTGAAATTCAACCACATAGGCTCATTGAATGAGTTATAATTTAGTTTTCAGTGTAAGGGGAAAATAGGAGGCCATCTCAGATTTTGCAGAAATAGTGAGGAAATTAAATCATTCTTTGGATAAAGATACCTAAGGGATGGATGGAAGCTGAGATAAATGAACACACTGTTAGCCATCCACAAAATGTATTATTCTATTTGTGTATAATTTCTCACCTTGGATTTAAGAACAAAAATTGATTATATTTCAAAAGCAGCTAAGTAGAACCTTGTTTGAATTTGAGCAGTAGATAGAGCCAAAGAGAAGAGAAAGAGAGACTTAAGTTGAAACACCCAATAAAATAGCACGGAGAGGCTGGTGGCTGGGGGAAGGTTAGGGCCTGCCTTTTAGAAGTGTTATAGTGGGGCTTGATCCCACAGTCTGTATGTGATGCTTTGGGAATATCGGTGCTTTCCCAAGTGCTGACACTAGTGACCAACATAAAGAACTATCAGTGTATAGTATTTCTTTTATTTCCTTTCAGTTCTTTGAGCAAAGGTAGTTAAAATAAATGTCATTGCTCTCATGCAGCTTGGGAAACCTGGTGAGATTTGAAGTCTTGTGAAATGTGCTAATTATAACACTGCATATCAGAGGAGTTGGGGAAGGGAAGGGAAGGTCCTGCCAACTTCCTTCTGTCATGAAAACTGAAGAGGACCATGGCAGGAGCTCAAAGTTGGAGCAACGTCCTATTCTATGAATGTGTAAAAACTGCAGGTAGAGTTAAGTAGGGAGAACCCAGAGAGGCTTCCAAGGCTAGACAGACTTGGCATGAACCTATGATTTGGGCATGGCTGCTGTGGTGCATCCTTCAGAATTCTGGGCAAATTGCCGGCCTATTCAGGGCCCTACAGACACCACAGTGCTGTGAGAAAGCACAGTGGTTAAGGGCGTGGGCTCTTGAGTCAAATAAACCTGGGTTTGAGTCTGAACTCTGCTACTTCCTGGCTATGTGACTTTAGGCAAATTTCTTTACTTCTCCAAAACCTCTGTTTTCTTCACCTAAATGGACATAATAGTATATCCATCTCATAGGATTCCTGTGAGGATTAGTGAGATCATCTATGAACTTTACATGCTGCTGCTTGGAACACTGTGAGTGCTCAATAAATGGTAGCTATTAGGTTATTTTATTTCTTAAGCCATATGTAGTCAAGCTTCAGCCTATGACAGATGGTGACAGCAGCGCTCACAAGGCACGCATGGCCTTCCAGACAGAGTTGGAAGCCCGCAGCAAATAGCCACCCTCATGCAGTCCTGGACCCTGTTATCCACCCAGCTGTAATATCCTACCTCGTTCCAAACAACCTATATACAGTGGTATACACAGTGGTCCCATGTGGTGACACGATTGGGATTTTTGCTTAAGATTTTTGAGGGTTTTTTTTTGCTTAAAATTTTTGAGTTAGAGAGATTTAAATCACGCTATTCTTTGGCTCCATAGCATTTGGTTCTGCAAGTGTCTTATCCTCTTGGCTTCTGTTTTCTCTAGTGTTCAAGACCAAAGAGCAGAAGCAGAAAGAAATAGCAATGGCTGCCGAGGGTGTTGTGGGACACCAGCCACCCTCAACTGAGGGGCTGCAAGTGCGTCAGGCTGGGTCTGCTGACATCTTTGATTGTTTTGTAGAAGGCTTTTCCAGTGCCTCATATTTTAAACACCATGGCAAAAAGTGAGCAACAGAGTTGGCAAGAGACAATAGTATAACATGAGAGGTGAGATGGATTTGAGTCACCAGAGAGGGAGAAAGATTGGGGAAAAGGGAAGGAAAAAAAGGATGAGAGAATAAAGGGGAAGAGAGAAAAATGAAGACCTGAAAGTGTAAAAGGGAATTGAAGAGAAATGAAGCTTTCTGATGCTGGTGAAGCTTAAGAATTAGGAAATGGTAACAGTAATAGTTACAGAAAGCAGGAGTGAGATGGTTAGAAAGCCTCAAACAAAGAATTATAAGTAGGAAGGAGTCTTTGGGGCATTATGTGATCTGTCTCCTGTTTATGATTAATGAAAAGAAGAAAGAAAAAAAAGGAAAGAAATAGAGAATCCTTTATGTCTGGGTCTTTGTGTCTAGGGGATTGGGCTATGATCTAGAAGGCCCTTTGCAAAGCTAATGATCTATGAATTTATAAGTCTCATATATATATATATATATTAAGATTCCTTATTTGGTTAAGATACATCACTGTGGTCTGTGTATTTTATGTCTGGGTCTTTGTGTCTAGGGGATTGGGCTATGATCTAGAAGGCCCTTTGCAAGGCTAATGATCTATGAATTTATAAGTCTCATATATATATATATATATATATATTAAGATTCCTTATTTGGTTAAGATACATCACTGTGGTCTGTGTAACTTCCATGAGAGTCACTTTGTGATGGATGATGTGAATGCAGTTGATTTTTGCAGCTTTCAAAAAGTCAGGATCATAATGCCCTTCAAAGTTCTTAGTAGCTTATACAGTATAATCATTAAAAACAAAAACAACTGACCAGCCCCCAGGTATGTTCTGGGACCACGCTGAACTCTTGGGAAAGTAAGAATCTAGGCTAGAACCAGGTCCTAGAGCTTTGTGGAGTTCCTTTGGGTGATTCCTCAGTTTGCTTGTTGTTAAACTCTATGATATCTGTTTCCTTGGTGTCCAGGTTTTCCATTAAATACAGCGTATCAGGAGAGACTAGAGAGCCAGCCACAATGTGGATCCCACTGGTCTCTGAGGATGTTTCTGTGTCAACTAAAAGAGCTGGCTCAGAGCTCATGGGATCTGGATTTAGGTTTTGCAGGGAGGTGTGTCTGGACTCTAGGAACCCTGGGAGGCTACACCTTTTCAGGAACCTGTCATTATCATTTGGGTCTTCCTCAAATTTGAATATGGTTCTCTCAGTGTTGGCTGAAACAGTCTGGGGACTGGGTCCCCTAGGAGGTGTCCCCTTCTCTGATGGGGACAGGCTTGATCTCACTGGGTCCTTCTGCTGCCCAGTACTGCTTGGCAGAACCCCAGTAAACTCAGAGCTCGAGATGGAGGTAGTGGAGTCATGGTGGTGGCCATCTGATGTGGGCATTGGTGCTGTGGCTGCTGTGACCAAGACCTCAGGGATCTGGGGCATTTTGGTGGGGGAAAACCTCATGCTGGACTGTGGGGTCAGGCTCTGTAAAGTGCTTGCCCGGCTGGTCTCCCTGATGGTGGACAGTTCTCCCATGCTGGAATGCAGCTTGGGGCTCTCCTCCAGGGAGTAGGATTGCTTTAGCGTGGGTGAGGCTCTGTAGAGGTTTCTTGAGGGCACGTCCAGCAGATCCCTGGCTGGGCTGAGTCATGCTGGAATGCAGCTTGGGGCTCTCCTCCAGGGAGTAGGATTGCTTTAGTGTGGGTGAGGCTCTGTAGAGGTTTCTTGAGGGCACGTCCAGCAGATCCCTGGCTGGGCTGAGGTCAACTTGGGGGAAAAACACGGAGCTGTCACTGGTCTGCCTCCCATAGCTTCTCTTCTTGGGGCTGGAGGGGTGTTCGTGGGCACTTAGGAACCGCTTGACTTTTCTCATCATGGAATACCGATGCCCATGCTTCTCATAATCCCACAGCCACTCCTCACCAGGGAAATCAGATGCAGACAGCCTGAAACACACAATGACAAAATATAGGCTGAGTAGCTTCAGGAGCCTAACTTTGGGGACAGAGTCTCAGAGTTAAGAGACTTGAGTTGGGTATTTTTAAATTACAGATTTTGAAATGTGGATAGAGGAACTTTAATTTGAAATAGTCTAGCAGAGGCTCTCAACATTTTTGGTCTCAGGACCCTTTAAAATTCTTAAAAATTATTGAGTACCTCAAAGAGATTTGTTTATGTGGGTTGTATCTATTGCTATTTACTGTATTTGAGATTATAACTAAGGAATGTAAAAAACACAAGAATGTATAAGCATTCTGTTAAGTGATAACCTCCTCACATATCTGTAGTCTCTGGAAAGTTCCATTGTATACTCATGAAAGAATAAGAATGAAAAAAGCAAATAACGTCTTGTCTTATTATGAAAATAACTTTGACCTCAAGGACTCTGTAGAAGGGTCTTGATCCCCAGGGGTCCCCAGATCATACTTTGAGAATCACTGATCTCTATAGAGACTTGGACATTAAAAAAAAAGGTATATATATGTAATATATACACATATACATACACACACATATATCTACACACACACACATATAGTATGTGTTCTTTCTCCCTTATTACAGTTGAACTAAGGTCATGTTTCTCCAGGACCCAAAACAGGACCCAAAAGCCAAAACAATGGCTAAATTTGAGAGAGTACAAATAATAGCTCACATTTATTGACTAAGTACTATGGCCAGCTAAGCACCTCACACGCATTAATTCATTTAATTACCACAAAAATCGTGGGTGTTGGTATTGTTATTATTCACACTTTACAGAAGAAGAAACTGAGGCCCAGAGAGATTCATCAAGCATAAGTAGCTAGCAAGGGCCAAACATGGAAGTCTGACTCCAAAGCTTTTTGTTCTTCATCACTCTGATACACAGCCTGCTCCTTGGTGTCAAGGGATGAGCTAGAGCCCAGGGAGAAGAACGAGTAAAATACAGTCCTTGCTTGGAGGTAATTTGTAGACATTCTGGTGAATGCTTTGTACTTCTGTCTGTTCAATTAGGGTTGAGAAAGGAGAGGTGTAACCTTGTGGAAAGAATATACTCATTGAGGCTGAGCGAGTTCACATTGTGGTTGGGCTACCCCTTGTGATGATATTTGATAGATTTGCTATGGCTAAAAATACCCTGTTGAATTTTTTTTTTTTTTTTGTCTTTTTTCGTGACCGGCAACGGATCGCAACCCTCAGTGTCG